TTCCATGCCCTCCAGAAACCTCCTAGACTGCTTTCTCTGGGCTGTGTTGTGCTTCCAGGATATATCTGGGAAGTTGAAGTCCCCCACAAGAACAAGCTGCCTGTCCCTTCTGAAGAGCCTATAGCCAGACACTGCAGCACTCCAGTCATGAGAGTGGTCCCACCACGTTTCCGTGATGGCAACCAAGTCATAGCCTGCCTGCCGCACGATGGCTTCCAGCTCCTCCTGTTTGTTACCCATGCTGCGTGCATTAGTGTAGATGCACTTCAGTTGGGCCATTGCCTTCTCCCCCATCCTTGCCATTGCTCCCCCTGGCACACAGCTCTAACAAGCCTTGTTTCAGCCCCATCCCCCTTCATACCTAGTTTAAAGCCCTCTCAATGATCCCCGCCAGCTCCTGGGCTAGGATCTGTGTTCCCCTTAGAGATAGGGACCCGTCTGCGTCCATCAGGCTGGGTGCTAAGTAAAGCGCTCCATTTTCAAAAAAAAACCACAAAATTTCTGTGTTGGCACCAGCCTGTGAGCCACGTGTTTATCAGGTGAGTTTTCCATGTCCTCTCTGTACCCCTCCCTGCCACCATAGGGATAGACGAAAACACCACCTGTACTCCTGCTCCATCCACTAACCGTCCCAGTCCCATTAAGTCCCGTTTGATGGTCTTCAGGCTTCTTTCTTCAATGTCATCACTGCCAGCCTGGACTATTAAAAGAGGATAATAGTCAGAGGGGCGAACCAGGTTGGGAAGCTTTCTGGCAATGTCCCTGACCTTGGCCCCAGGGAGGCAGCAGACTTCCCTACGGGTAGGGTCAGGCTGACAAATAGGGCCCTCTGTTCCCCTGAGGAGGGAGTCGCCCACAACAATCACCCTTCTTTTTTTCTTGATGGAGGCAGTCCTGAGGTGTGGAGTCGACTTCCTCGCCCTATTCATCCTCCTGGGCAGACTTTCTGCCTCTTCCTCAGCTACTGGTCTCTCAAGCTCCAGGGCCTCAAATCTGCTGTGTAAAGCTCCAGGGCCTCAAACCTGTTGTGTAAACCTTTATGAAAAGCATTTTAATTTAAGCATTTTAATAATGCTTAAATAAAAGCATTTTAATTTAAGAAATGAAAACAAAACAAAGAAAATAACAGTGCCAAACAGCAGCTGGGAGAGTGAGAGGAGTGAGAAACAGCCTTACAGGAGCCAAGGTCAGTGAAGAAGGAGGGGAAAAGGTGCTCCAGGCGCCAGAGCAGAAGTCCCCTGCGGCCTGTGGTAAGGACCATGGTGAAGCAGGCTGTCCCCCGGCAGCCCATGGAGTATCACGGTGGAGCAGGGATCCATGCTGAAGCCTGTGGAGGAGACCACGGTAGAGCAGGTGGACCTGCACCAACGGAGACTGCGGCCTGTGGAGGACCCTTGCCGGTTCTGGGTTGGACCTGTAGCCCGTGGAGAGGAGACCACGCAGGAGCAGGTGACCTGGCAGGAGCTGCTGCCTGTAGGGGAGCCAGGTTGGAGCAGTTTGCTCCTGAGGGATGGACCCCGTGGTACGGACCCATATCTGGAGCAGCTCTGGAAGAGCTGCTGCCTGTGGGGAACCCACTCCAGATCAGTTCATCAAGGACTGTATCCCGTGGGTGGGACCCCACAGCACAGGGGACAAGAGTGACCGAGAAGGAGCGGCAGAGAAGAAATGCTGTAAACTGACCATAACCCCCATTCCCCCATTCCCCTGCACCGCTCGGGGGGAGGAGGTGGAAGAGGGTGGATGGGGGGGGGAAGGTGCTTTTGGTTTCTTTCCTTTGTTTCTCACTTCTCTAGCTTGTTAGTAATAGGCAATAAATCTTAATATCTCCTTATGTTGAGTCTGTTTTTCCCATCACGATAATTGTTGAGCGATCTCCCCGTCCTTATCTCAAACCTTGAGCCCTTTGCATCATATTTTTTCTCCTCATTTCCCTTTAAGGAAGGGGAGTGAGAGAGAAATTGTGGTGGAGCTCAGCTGCCCACCCAAGTAAAACTACGACAGCCACATACAGTTGGGTCATCATCGAGGGGTGGACCTGACCAATAAGGTCATCATAGAGGTTACCCATGAGTATGAAACCTGTGCAGTGTTCAAGTGAGCCATGAGGGGAATATGGGACGGTTTCTAGGATTTTGATATGATGAGGCCTGGTGACTATATTGGACCACTCCCACAAACCCACCAAGGCAAGCACTACATACTCACCATGGTAGAGGGAACTACTGGGTGGCTGGAAACATACCCAGTAAACCATGCTACTGCTTGAAACACCATCTTGGGCCTGGCAAGGCAAGTACTGTGGCATCATGGTACACCAGAGAGAATCGAGTCAGACAATGGGAGTCACTTTGAAAATGATCTTGTAAACTCTTGGGCCAAGAGGCATGGTATTGAGTGGATGTATCACATCCCCTGTCACCCACAAGCCTCTGGGAAGGCTGAGAGATACAATGGACTGTGAAAGACTATGCTACGGGTATTGGGTGCTGGGACTTGGAAACACTGGGACATTAATTTAGCAGAAGCCACTTGGGTAGTTAACACCAGAGGATCACAGAATCATCTAGGTTGGAAGAGACCACCAAGATCAACTAGTACAACCTCTGACCTAACACTAACAAGTCCTCCGCTAAACCATATCACTAAGCGCTACATCTAAACATCTTTTAAAAACCTCCAGGGATGGTGACTCAACCACTTCCTTGGGCAGCCCATTCCAATGCTTAACAATCCTTTCGGTAAAGAAGTTCTTCCTAATATCCAACCTAAACCTTCCCTGGCAACCATCCAGGTCCTGCTGAAACAAAACCCCTACACACACTGGGAGGAGCCAAAGTCCTGGTAGTGCATGTAGGGAAGCGGAAGGTGGTGTGGGTTTCGGCTGGGATAGAGTTAATTTTCTTCCTAGTGGCTGGTATGGCGCTGTGTTTTGGAATTAGGTTGAAAATAGCGGTGATAACTGTACTGGGTTTGGCTGGGATGGAGTTAACTATCCCTGCAGCGGCCCATATAGTGTTGCGCTCTGCACTTGTGGCTAGAACAGCCCTGATATTACACCAGTGTTTTGTCTATTGCTGAGCAGTGCTGGCACAGCATCAAGACACTCTCCAAATCCTCTCAAAGCCAGTAGGCTGGGGATGGGAAAGAAGTGGTGAGGGGACATCACCAAGGCAGCTGACCTAAACTGACCAAAGGGATATTCCATACCATATGATGTCACACTCAGCAATAAAAGCTGTGAAAGGGAAAGGAGAAGGAGGTGGGTCTCATTAGGAAGACATCTGTCCTCTCAAACCACTGCTACATGTATTGAGGCCCTGCTTCCCAGGACTTGGCCAAACATCACTCACTGATGCAAAGTAGAGAATAATTTATTTTTTCTTCCTTCTGTGCTTCCACGCAACCTTTGCTTTCTTTTTCTCTCTTTCTTTCCCCTTTAATTAAATTATCCTTATTTCAACTCATGAGATTGTGGGTTTTTTTGCTAGCATACTTTCTTCTCCCCCTCTTCTAAGGAGGAGGAGGGGGAGTGAAAGAGCAGTTGTGGTGGAGTTTGGCTGCCCAGCAGGGTAAAACCACCACATAAGGTCACCTCCTTAGTCGATGAATGGAAGGTGTTGTATGTAATCTTTCTGGATTTTAGCAAGGCCTTTGATATTGTCCCTCACAGAGTTCTGCTGGACAAATTGTACAGCTGTGAGGAAAAACAGGTACATGCAATACTGGGTGATGAACTTGCTGAATGGTAGGACTCAAAGGGTTGTAGTGAATGGGGCTACATCTGACTGGCGGCCAGTCACTAGCGGTGTTCCCCAGGGCTCAGTTCTAGGGCCAGTCCTGTTCAATATTTTTATCAACTGTCTAGATGCAGTGGAATGCATCCTCAGCAAGTTTGTTGATGATACTAAATGGGGAGGTGATGTTGACTCCCTGGAGGGACAAGAGACATTGCAGAGGGATCTAGATAGATTGGAGCATTGGACAGTCAGCAACAGCATGAAATTCAACAAAGAAAAATGACTGGTTCTGAACCTGGGATGGACTAATGCTGGACACAGGTACAGACTGGGAGACAAGCGGCTAGAGAGCAGCCATGCGGAAATGGACCTTGGGGTTCTGGTCAACAGTAGGCTTAACATGAGTCATCAGTGTGCCCTGGCAGCCAAGAGGGCAAACCCCATTTTTGGATGCGTTAAACACAGCACAGACAGCTGGTCAAGAGGTCATTCTCCCACTATATTTAGCGTTTGTACAGCCTCACCTTGAATATTGCATGTAGTTCTGATCTCCACAACATAAAAAGTATGTTACGGTCTTTGAAAGTGTCCAGAGGAGGGCGACAAAGCTGGTAAAAGGGCTAGAAGGCACGTCCTATGAGAGGCTGAGGACATTTGCTTTGTCTAGTCTGGAGAAAAGGAGGCTAAGAGGCAACCTCATTATATAACTCTATATAACTTCCTGAAGAGGGGGAATGGAAAGGGAGGTGTCATTCTCTTCTCCCTGGTAAACAATGATATAATTCATGGGAATGGCACAAAGCTGCGCTAGGGGAGGTTCAGACTGGACATTAGGAAAAAAATCTTTACTGTGAAGGTGGTCAAACGCTGGAACAGGCTTCTTAGAGAGATGGTTGATACCCCATTTCTGTCAGTGTTAATGAGGCATTTCGATAATGCCCTTAATAATACACTTTAACTTTTGGTTAGCCCTGACGAGGTCAGGCAGTTGGACTTGATGGTCTTTGTAGGCACCCTTCCAACTGAACTATACTATTCTGTTCTAGTTTGCAGAAAATAAGTATATTGTAAAAACAGTTTTTCATAATTCCATGATAGTATAATCAAGAAAGTACTATAGAAGCACAATTGTTAATATATAAGGCAGACTCCCAAGAATATAAATAATCCCCGTTACTTTGTGAAAGACTTCCTCTCTCAAGTAGGAAAGAAAAATCCATATTAAACATAGGAAATAGAAGAGTGTAACAAATAACTTACCTTTTTAAACATAACTAATGAGATCACAGCAGATGCTGTGAAAAGTGCAGCTATAATTATCATCATAATGCCAACGGGGATACTCTTATTAAGACCAGTAAGAGATGAAATCCACCCACTGAAGGAAAAAGACAAGATCAATTTTATTGGCACAGCACAAGAACTATTAAACCACAGGTATCGACATCAAGGGAAGATTTATAACATCCTGGTTTTGCTCAACTTTGAATATTTTTGAAGAAAATTTCATGAAAATTACAAATGAGCATATTCCTGTTTATAATATTTTTTTAAAAGCTTAGTTTCTATTTTCCCAGTGCATGCAATGAAACTATAAGGAAAACTAGCAAATATAAGATGATTTTTCTTGAGCATAGTTGAGAAGAAATTAAGAGAGAAATTAGAGTTGCTCATCAACTTTTTTTTTTGGTCATGTCATTTCAGACTAATTAAAGAGTACATGTTTTTGTGGAAGATAAAATGTCCCTAAAAAGTTAGATTCTAACTTCTTTAAAAATAAAACATGCCATACACATGCAGCCTCTGTGTGGGAAGACTCATTTAATTGTATCCACACATACTTTCTCACACATACTTTCTCAGTTGGGTTTAATATAATACTTTTTTTTTTTTTTTAAGTAGAAAGGATAGTCTGAGAAATAGAAAAGATGGCTTTATCAGTTTCTATTTTAAACATTTCCCCATTCTTCAAAATTGAAACACCAACAAAACGTACATCATACTTGAAATCACAAAAAACAGGTTGCCTTAAAAAAACTAAAACATTAAGATGGAAATGATTCTCCCAATAAAAAGAAGAAAAAGTTTCTGTACATCCAAATAACCTTATGATTTTCCTGCATCTTTTTTAAATTGCTTTGATATTTTCTATGTCCAACTGTACTCTACCACAAATCTCCAAACTCCAAATTGCAAATAGCATCTTCTGATCATCTGGCTACTTTTCATGCCCCTTTCCCAAGTATCCTTAAAAGCACATTCCACATACTTAGAGAGTTGGCCCTCTAAAATTATATTTTTTCATGTCAATCAAATATCTATGAAAAATTAAAAAATTGAATTAGAGAGAAGAAATAATAAAATGTGCTTTTTCCTTACACTCCAGTTCCATTTTGTCTGCCTTATGTATGTTTGGAGATTAGCAACAAAATGTCCATACCCAGATATAGTACTGCCAGTCATAGGTCTAAATGCTACCAGCTGACTACTACAGACATAATTTTAATTACTTTTAGTTTGTTGATTTTTTTTGGTCTTAAACAGACAGCACAATACTACAGAAAAGAGAATACTCACCAGTTTCCCCATCTTTGAAATCCTGCAGCTTGAAGTACATGTACAGCAAACTGACAGATATATACAAAGAAGAACACAAAGAACCTGAATGAACTGTCACTCCTGAAAGAAGGGGAAAAAAAGATTAAAGCAGTCAGGAAATAAATGTATTTTGACAAAGACTATAGTACCAATCTTTTTTTTTTTTTTTTCTTGCATTAACTAGAGAAAAATGCTTTTATTTCTTGATGGAGACTTAAAATTTCAGGCAGTAATTCTGTGGTTCTGGAAAATGTTTATTTAATCACAGAATCACAGAATTTCTAGGTTGGAAGAGACCTCAAGATCATCGAGTCCAACCTCTGAACTAACACTAACAAATCCTCCACTAAACCATATCCCTAAGCTCTGCATCTAAACGTCTTTTAAAGACCTCCAGGGATGGTGACTCCACCACTTCCCTGGGCAGCCTGTTCCAATGTCTAACAACCATTTTGGTAAAGAAGTTCTTCCTAACATCCAACCTAAAACTCCCCTGGCGCAAATTAAGCCCATTCCCCCTCGTCCTGTCACCAGGCATGTGGGAGAACAGACCAACCCCCACCTCACTACAGCTTCCTTTAAGGTACCAGGAGAGCAATAAGGTTGCCCCTGAGCCTCCTTTTCTCCAGGCTGAAGAAGCTCAGCTCCCTTAGCCGCTACTCATTAGACTTGTTCTACAGACCTCTCACCAGCTTCATTGCCCTTCTCTGGACTCGCTCAAGCACCTCGATGTCCTTCTTGTAGAGAGGGGCCCAAAAGGGAACACAGTACTCGAGGTACGGCCTCACCAGAGCCGAGTACAGGGGGACGATCACCTCCCTAGCCCTGCTGGCCACACTGTTTCTGATACAAGCCAGGATGCTGTTGGCCTTCTTGGTCACCTGAGCACACTGCTGGCTCATATTCAGCCGACTATCAACCATCATTCCCAGGTCCTTCTCCGCCTGACAGCTTTCCAACCACTCATCTCCCAGCCTGTAGCTCTGCTTGGGGTTATTGTGCCCCAGGTGCAGGACCTAGCACTTGGCCTTGTTGAACTTCATGCAGTTGACCTCAGCCCATCGGTCCAGCCTATCCAGATCCTCCTGCAGAGCCTTCCTACCCTCGAGCAGATCGACACACGCACCTAACTTGGTGTCATCTGCAAACTTACTGAGGGTGCACTCAATGCCCTCGTCCAGATCATTGATGAAGATATTAAAGAGGACCGGCCCCAGAACCGAGCCCTGGGGAACGCCACTAGTGACCGGCCTCCAACTGGATTTGACTCCATTCACCACAAATCTTTGGTCCCAGCTATTTACAATAGATTATTCTTTAATACAGTGTTTTTTTGTCTTCTCTGTCTCCAACAGAGGTGGAAATAGCAGCAAGATACTATTATTTAGTGTTCTGTTCAGGTGTACTGGGTCTGGCTGGAATGTTAACTTTCCCGGCAGCAGCCCATACAGTGCTGTACTCTGCACTTGTAGCTGGAACAGCAGTGTTATCACACCAGTGTTGTGTCTACTGCTGAGCAGTGCTGGCACAGCATCGGGCCTCTCTCTAACCCTCCTAGGGGGTGGGCAAAAAGTGAGAAGAGAAACATCACCAGGGCAGCTGACCTAAACCAACCAAAGGGGTATTCCATACCATGTGATGTCACACTCAGCAATAAAAGGTGGAAACAGGAAGAAGAGGGGAGGGGTGGGCTCTCGTTGGGAAAACGTCCGTCCTCCTCCCAAACACTGGCTACGTGCGTTGAGGCCCTGCTTCAAGGACGTGGTCAATCATTGCTCATTTGTGGGAAGTAGAGAGTAATTTCTTTCCTCTGCACTTCCACGTATCCTTTATTTATTTTATTTTGTTTGTTTTCCTCCCTTTTTTTTTTCCCTTTCCCCCTCCCTTTTCCCCTTTCTCCTTTTATTTCCCTTTAGTTAAATTGTTTAGTTTATAATAATCTTTCTTTAATTATTATAATTATTTCCCTTTAATTAAATTATCCTTATCTCAACTCATGAGTTGTTCTTTGCTTTACTTCTCCCCCTTTTCATCTAAGGAGGGGGAGTGAGAGAGTGGTTGTGGTGTTTAGCTGCCCAGCATGGTAAAACCACCACATCTTAGACTAAACATAGAGGTTTTGCTACAATGCATAAAGAACGGAAGCCTGCTCCTCTTTCAGGCTGAAGTTTACAGCACTGGCAGTATGGAAAGAAATTCTTTTACTTGTCAAAGTGATTGCTGTGGTTTAAACCCAGTAAGCAGCAAAGCACCACACAGCTGTTCACTCACTTCTCCCCCCGCCCCCCCAGCTGTATGTGGGGAAGAGAAACAGAAGAAAAGTTACAAAACTCATGTGATGAGATAAAGACAGTTTAATAAGAAAGAGAAAAAAAAAAAAGGAAAAAAAAAAAAAGGAAAAAAAAAAAAAAACAACACAACCAAAGGAAAACAAGTGATACACAATAGAATTGCTCACCACCAGCCAAACAGCATCCAGGCCAGTCCCCAAGTAATGCCCCCACACACACACACAGTTTTATTGTTCAGCATGTTGTTATATGGTAGGGAATATCCCTTTGGTCAGTCTGAGTCAGCTGTCCTGATTCTGTCCCCTCCTAGCTTCTTGTGTGCTCCCAAGCCTACTTGCTAGCAGGCAGCTTGAGAAATAGAAAAGAACTTGATTCAGCATAAGCACTACTCAGCAGCAACTAAAACATTTGTGTGTTATCCACATTATTTTCATTATAAATCCATAACATAGCACCATACAAGCTACTATGAAGAAAATTAACTCTATCCCAGCCAAAACAGCACAAAAAGGAAATAAAATCTAATATGGATTTCCTGAAAAAAACACAGATCACAATACTAAAGCAGCTGTTGTTTAAAAGCAAAATATACAAAATATGCTTGTTGTTCAAAATAATAAAATGCCAGACTGACAAAGACTGAAAGTGTTAAAAGCCTGTCAAGAAAACAAATATAAATATATAAGCAAAATTTCAACAAAGACCTCAACTTAATACTATCAAAACTAATGATCACATAATATGCTTGCTACCAAAGTTCTAAAGAAAGCAAAGATCAATTAAGTCACATTAAGAAAATGGAACCAGATTTTGCCAGTAATTGCAATTTTTTGCAGAAGGCAGTTTGTTCATTTCTATTTGTTTAACTAGTTCAGTTTGTTATATATGGAGTTGTAATTCGTGTCAAAAGATGGTTGATATTAATAAAGAAGGGGGAGATGTGGGAGTGTGGCCACGGGGGTCGGCAAGCCCCGTGGTTGATGATAACATTAGACTCTTAACGATGAGGCCATCAGGAATGTAAAAGAGGGTGATTCAGGAGACTCCACGCAGTCTCAAGGTTGCTTGTTCTCCACCCACTAAGGCATGGAAGCTTCTGGGTGTTTGCTGTTGTTGTTATATGCAAAGTTGTTTGACCAATAAAAAGTTGGTTTTTGAAAAGGACTGCTGTGGGGTGAAGGGTGTAAGAGGGGATCCTTTCCTCAAGATAAAAAAAAAAAGGCAACACTATATAACGAAGTTATATCATCAATAAAGAAGCAGGAAAAAAGAATGAATAGGGACCGGCTAGCAGAACAGAGACCAGGATGGGAATAGGCACATTGATTGCCTCATGAAGATAGGTTCGGCCAAACTCAGTAAACTGCTCAGAGAAGCTTGTACAGAAAGTCACTGGAAAGAAGCTCATGCTGAGAGAAGTGGACCTGCACACACAACTGCCCATCGCTGGTAAGCAGTTGCACATTATGGGGAATCATACGCCCTTAGAAACAAAGACTGTCCTGGTAACCTTATAGCTTATTCTCCTTATTAACAATCAGACAGTTTATGATCCTGAAATACATGTATGGGACCAAATTGAGGTCAAGGTGTGGGACTCTGCAACTAAAAACGACAAGGTTGCAGTGGAAGGATTGCCCGGCACCTGGTGAGCAGTCTCTGAGGCCTTAAAGAGCCATGTGGAGCCACAATCACAAACGTGTGGCTTGCCAGATAGTGAGGGAGCTGTGGGCTCCTTTACTGATCCAATTGCTACGCCATCAGCCCCTCTGCTGCTACAGCCATTGCAGGCCTTTGCTGTTATGCCCCCTGCTGACCTGGACGTGCCTTTTGACCCAGGCTTATTGGCCTTGAAAATGAGTGTCCTGGTTTCAGTTAGAACAGAATTAATTTTCTTCCTAGTAGCTGGTGGAATGCTGTGTTTTGGCTTAGGATGAGAAGAGTTCTGATAACACCCCGATGTTTTAATTGTTGCAGAGCAGTGCTTATACTAAGCCAAGGACATCTCAGCCTTTTGCTCTGTCCTGCCAACAGGCAGGCTGGGGGTGCAGAAAGAGCTGGGAGGGGACAGACTCGGGACAGGTGACCCAAACTAGCCAAAGGGGTATTCCATACCATCTGACGTCATGCTAAACAATAGATAGGGGTGGCTAGCCGGGGGGAGGGGGCCGGACTGCTTGGGGTTAGGCTGGGCATCGGTCAGCGAGTGGTGAGCAATTGCATTGTGCATCACTTGTTTGTACATATTATTATTACTTTCCTATTATCACCATTGTAGTATTATTATTATTATTATTATTATTATTATTATTATTATTGTTATTTTCCTGTCTTATTAAACTGTCTTTATCTCAACTCACGGGCTTCACTTTCCATTTCTCTCCCCCGTCCCAGAGAGGGAGGGGGGAGGGTGAGCGAACGGCTGCGTGGTGTTTAGCTGCCGGCCGGGTTAAACCACAACAAGGAGATGGATATGCTTTTCTTTGATCCAGGAAGAACGGGATACATAAGCCTGAAGACTGAGTTGCTTGACATCTTAAAGCAAGACATATTGTTCAAAAGGAATGGAAAATGGAGACTGTTAAGTCATGGAACTTAGAGGATTGTTTTTTTACCTTTTCTGATTTTACACACGTATAGGCGTATTCAAATTTAGTAAGTCATGGAACTTAAAGGATTGTTCTTTCCTGATTGTATGTATGTATAGACATAGTTGGGTTTAGTATTTAAAAGCGATGTTTTATATATTTGGAATGTTTGATGTTTTTGTGTGCGTATTGGTGGAGCGTAGACTCCCCGCACACCCAGCGCTGTTTACTTGCCTTATATATATATTGTTTTATAAATATTACCAAATTCAGATTGAGTTGAGACTTCATTTATAACAAGTTCAATAACTGTTTCATCTTCAGCTGAGCAACTGAAGGAAAGTTGAAAATGTAAGTAGCAGTTTTCCTTTTCCAAACAGTCACTATTCGCTAAGAAAGGCTATATACTAGACATTACTGATGCAGGATTTCCTGGATCTAAAACTGTGAAAGGTAATGTTGCACTACACTCTTCAGCTGAAGAAAACAAGGAAACCTCGAAGAAAACAGGAAGACTGGTAGCCTTGAACTAGCAGAAGCAAGGGAGATAAGGGATGAAAGCTAAAAAACAAGGAGAAAAACAGCTGAAGGAAGATTCCAGACTGACCCATGGTAAACTTTTGCTCATTAAGGGTCATTAGCATATTTAAACAACACCCATCATAATGCTAATGAATGGAAATGCTGTATTTGGTGAGGGTGTCTGTCCGTCCCGCTGGTCCTCTGTAATACACAGGCTCAATAGAGATAAGTTAGGCAAGCTAAAACAACCAATCAAAAGTAGCCAGAGAGAGAATTGCACAAGTTAGCTGCACATAAATAACAGTGATTCAAGTCAGGGGTGTGCTTCCTTTGTGAAAGATTGCAAAGCATCTGATTCTGAAGAATTATATAATTAACTATTTAATTAAAAGACCTCTGTGTTAATTCTGACTCTGTGCTTATTGGCAAGTTGCACCAGCCACAAACCTATGGATAACGACACTATGAACTCCACTAAATCAGGAATAAAAACAACACTACTAAGACAGAGTATGTAAGATGTAATCAGTTAATGTAAGCTACCATTTTAAAATCACAGAATCACAGAATTTCTAGGTTGGAAGAGACCTCAAGATCGAGTCCAACCTCTGACCTAACGCTAACAGTCCCCACTAAACCATATCCCTAAGCTCTACATCTAAACGTCTTTTAAAGACTTCCAGGGATGGTGACTCCACCACTTCCCTGGGCAGCCTGTTCCAGTGTCTAACAACCCTTTTGGTAAAGAAGTTCTTCCTAACATCCAGCCTAAAACTCCCCTGGCGCAACTTAAGCCCATTCCCCCTCGTCCTGTCACCAGGCACATGGGAGAATAGACCAACCCCCACCTCGCTACAGCCTCCTTTAAGGTGTGATAAATTAGTAGGGGTTTGTTCATTGTCCTTGAGAATTTAAAGAATCTACTGAGGAGATAAGGTTTCACAACTCACGGCATTGTAACATGGAGACAAATGGGGAAGGGGGGTTGGGTAAACATCCTTGTTAAAACAAAGATTTTGTAAGATACCACCCACCCACCGCAAGACATCCTATTTTGCCCCCACCTGAACACAAGCACAACGCATGATCACCGGAGGAAGAATAACAACCCCCAACAACAGACTGCCCAGCCTCAGAACAAGTCTCGACAAGTCGACAAGTCGACAGGTCTCGACAAGTCAACAAGTCAAGTCTCGACAAGCCAGAACTTGAATGCTATAAAACAGCGACACTGGAAAGGGGAAGTTGCGTGCCGTGGCGGAGCGGAGACTCCCCAGCCGCCCAGCGCTGTTTTGCTTGTGCCTGCTTACTTGATTAATAAAATAATTTCAATAGACCAGTAAATTCTGTGGTCTAACTTATAACAAAGGTATCTGTAAAGAGCAATAAGGTCACCCCTGAACCTCCTTTTCTCCAGGATGAACAAGCCCAGCTCCCTCAGCCGCTCCTTGTAGGACTTGTTCTCCAGGCCCCTCACCAGCTTCGTCGTCCTTCTCTGGACCCGCTCAAGCACCTCCATGTCCTTCTTGTAGCGAGGGGCCCAAAAGTGAACACAGTACTCGAGGTGCGGTCTCACCAGAGCCGAGTACAGGGGGACGATCACCTCCCTAGCCCTGCTGGTCACACTGTTTCTTATGCAAGCCAGGATGCCATTGGACTTCTTGGCCACCTGAGCACACTGCTGGCTCATATTCAGCTGACTATCAACCATCACTCCCAGGTCCTTCACTGCCTGGCAGCTCTCCAACCACTCATCTCCCAGCCTGTAGCTCTGCTTGGGGTTATTGCGTCTCAGGTGCAGGACCCAGCACTTGGCCTTGTTGAACTTCATGCAGTTGACCTCAGGCCATCGGTGCAGCCTATCCAGATCCTCCTGCAGAGCCTTCCTACCCTCAAGCAGATCGACACAGGCACCTAGCTTGGTGTCATCTGCAAACTTACTGAGGGTGCACTCCATGCCCTTGTCCAGATCATCCATGAAGATATTAAAGAGGACCGGCCCCAGCATCGAGCCCTGGGGAACACCACTAGTGACTGGCCTCCAACTGGATTTGACTCCATTTACCACGACTCTTTGGGCCCGGCTATCCAGCCAGTTTCTAACCCAACGAAGCGTGCGGCAGTCCAAGCCTAGGGCAGCCAGTTTCTTGAGGAGAATGCTGTGGGAAACGGCGTCAAAAGCCTTGCTGAAGTCAAGGTAGACCACATCCACAGCCTTTCCCTCATCCACCAAGCGTGTCACTTTGTCACAGGAGATCAGGTTCGTCAAGCAGGACCTGCCTTTCATGCTGACTGGGCCTGATCGCCTGCTGGCCCTGCAAGTGGTGCGTGATGACACTCAAGATAATCTGCTCCATGAGCTTCCCTGGCACCGAGGTCAAACTGACAGGCCTGTAGTTCCCCGGGTCTGCCCTCCGGCCCTTCTTGTAGATGGGTGTCACGTTTGCTAGCCGCCAGTCCACTGGGACCTCCCCCGACAGCCAGGACTGTTGATAAATGATGGTAAGCAGCTTGGCCAGCTCCTCTGCCAGTTCTCTCAGTACCCTTGGGTGGATCCCATCCGGCCCCATCGACTTGTGCACATCCAAGTGCCGTACCAGGTCACCAACCATTTTCTCATAGATAGTGAGGGCCACATCCTGCTCCCAATCCCCTTCCACCAGCTCAGGGTACTGGGTATCCAGAGAACAACCGGTATTGCTGCTAAAGACTGAGGCGAAGAAGGCAATAAGCACCTCCCCCTTTTCCTCATCTCTTGTAACTAAGTTTCCCGCCGCATCCAGTAAAGGATGGAGATTGTCCTTAGTCCTCCTTTTTGTGTTGATGTATTTATAAAAACGTTTTTTGTTATCTTTAATGGCAGTAGCCAGATTGAGCTCCAGATGAGCTTTGGCCTTCCTAATTTTGTCCCTGCACAGCCTCGCAACATCCTTATAGTCCTCCCTAGTGGCCTGCCCACTTTTCCAAAGATTATAAACCTTCTTTTTTCTCCGAAGATCAAGCCACAATTCTCTGTTGAGCCAGGCTGGTCTTCTTCCCCGCCATCTCGTCTTTGGGCACATGGGGACAGCCCGTGACCCCAAAATGCTGTCAATTCTCTGTATTTTCAGTTGATCTCAATTTGCACCCACATTGTAACGCAAGTCATGAACAGAAGTTAAAGTTGTAAATGAAAAATATTTTTAGCCTTAAGGGTATAAGAATTTACTATATGAGCAAATGCAAGTTAAAATATATGATTCCTCAAAGATACATGGGCTTGGCAATATCTCCTTAGTTAGCAAAAAGAAACATCTAATTCAGTCTAAAATTATGCACAAATGTAATTTATGGCTATCAATCTTTCTCTACAAAAATTAATGTATTTAAACTAAGAATATCATGATTCATTTCAATGTAAAGTCAAGAAATACTGTAGCAGTACAGAAATTAAAAATCTCTAAAATCTGATTTTTACAAAAATATTCAATTTTGCGTGCAAACCAACCATTCTATTTTTAAACACGAAGATAATACACCTTAAGATTACAAAGTCTGCAAAATCCAGATTGCTAAAAGCTAGGAAAAATACTGGAGTTTGATTACTGTGTACCTGCTCTACTCATTCTTAAGAATGGCAGTCTTCTACAATTGCAGACACTGCAAGGTGTACAGTTTCATGAAGTTCATTTAGGAAGCCAAAAGTTTAAGACACCCTTAACTATTAACCTGCTCAGATTCTTGGTGTAAAGTGATGGAGATGTAATGAGAATTTTTTCTTAAAGTTATCATCCCTATGCAAAAGTTAAATACTTTCTACAAATATTGTGTCAATGGTAGAATCTATAAATATTTTAAAGGATATTCCATGATATTCCTAACTATTGCTATCTATGATTCAGATACACAGTTGAAATAATGGCAAACATACAACTTGTTTCTAATGAAAGTATATTAAAGGTTTGTCATAATGATAATTAAGTAAATTCTGGACTGTTAATGCATTTCAACAAGTGTAATGTGGTTTTGGTTATTTTAAATATCCTAAGACAAAATGAAATTGTTACCTGAAAGCTCCATAAAGTGGTCTGTACCAGCAGACAAAAGAACAAGGCGTAAAAAGCAAGAACCAGAGGATACTCAATCCAAAATCGACCCCTCGCGTAGCATCAATGTAAAACCAGGCCAAACATCCAAAGATATTAAGAAACAGTGTCACTGTATGGACTGTAGAAGCAAAAGCAAAAAAGTCTTAATTTAATTAATTTATACAATAAATTATTAAAACTGTTAAAGTAATAGTATAAATGAGCATTTTTAAACAAAACATAAGAATGCTGACAATAAATCAACATTCTCTCTCTGCAATAAGCTGATTTTTATAGTTTTCTAACTTTCAGGTAAAGCCAGTATTCCCAAGTAAAAGTTCTGAACAAGAAAATTCAAGTAGCATCAGGTATGTGGTGAAGAAAAAAAAAAGTCATCAAAGTAAAGAATTTTCAAAAAAAAACAAATGATGAAAAAAGAGGTTTCCACAGCTGCAGTAAACTGATATTTCTTTTACAGTAATTACTGAATAGCTATTTACATTTTTTTTTTTATATGCTGGTTGTTTATTTTCTCTTACAGTCAGGCAACTAAATATATGCAGGACTGTCAGCCTTAATATTGCAATATATAACTATTGTGTTTTTTTTTAGAGAAAAGCTTATAAATGATATAAAATACATAATAAATTTAGCATTGGACATTGTTCCAATTTGAAACAAGAATATTAAAAAAAAAAAAAACTTTTAACCAAAATCTGTCTTACACGTCATAAAGCAAAAAAGCCTACATAGTAAAATGCTTCTCAGTAAAACAAAATTTGTCAGTTGTTGTTCTAGATCCTTGAATATATATTGTATATTGAAAAATTTCTCATAATGCTTTTGGTGCTCAGTTCTTAGCTTAATACGGGCCTTTCCTCTTTGGCAAACCATGTTATAGGTTAACTATTTAATTTCTACTAAAGGAAATGTATTGGCAACATGACTTCACAGTTTATTTCAAATATATTTAGCTCTTGTAATATAAAAAAAATATACAGTGGTAGTAAGAAATATTACAACTACTACTTTAATGCTACCTGAGCACAACAGTTAGTTCTGACGGACACTTTCTGTCTCTGTTTAGTAATACCCAGTGTCTCAAAGGACTCTTTCTCTCTTTGTGGACCATAATAAAGTTTTATATATATATATATATATATATATATAATATTATTTATATTCATAAATGAGTGCAAAAGCAGTTCCATGCAGCAATGTTTATTTAAGTCCAGAGAAACATTTTAGTCACTCTACTGGAAGGTAAGATTAACAGAAGAAATGGCAAGTACATAAAGATACTGAGAAAAAAAAAAAAGAAAAAAAAAAAAAAGACTGTTCATAGCTCTTTGTTTCCCTCTTAACTAGGACTTAATTAACCCGTAAATCAACTTAGTGGAAAAAAATATCAAAATGCTGACATCATTGCATGAAGGGCTGAAGGAACTCAAAACACATTTTCCTCAGAAAATTCTATTTACCTGTAAGAGTCAATAGAAATAGAAAATGTCATACTTTTAAATAAAGAACATTTAATGCATTTGTATATCTTAACACTGTTCCAAGAGGCTAGCAAAGCATGTATAATGAAGTACAACAAAGGATAGAAATCCAAATTCCTACCTTCTTTTGATTAATATGAGAAAGTTTACTAACTGGTATTCTTTCTTTTTCTAGTCAATGCTGGAAAACAGGGAGACACCCTTGATTACTAGAAATGCCTACCTTCTGATGGATTTTGAACTTTCAGATAAATTTTATTTTTTGTACTTGTAATTAAAATAACAGGACAAGTTTTAAAAGAATATGATCTGTGCATAATCATATAATCATCTAGGTTGGAAAAGACCTTCAAGATCAAGTCCAACTATCAACCTGACCTACCAAGTCCCATCACTAAACCATATCCCTTAGTGCCACGTCCACATCTCTTGAATACCTCCAGGGATGGGGCCTGGACAGCATGTTCTGATGCTTAATCACCTTCTCCATGAAGAAATGTTTCTTAATGTACAATCTAAACCTCCCCTGGCACAACTTGAGACTGTTTCCTTGTGTCCTATTACTTGTCAACTGAGAAAAGAGACCAGCACCCTCCTCTCTGCAACCTCCTTTCATGTAGTTGTAGAGAGTGATGAGGATACCCCTCAGCTTCCTCTTCTCCATATTAAACAAACCCCAGTTCCCTCAGCCACTCCTCATAACTCTTGTTTTCTAGTCCCTTCACCAGCTTTATTGCTCTTCTCTGCACAAGATTGAACAACTCAATATCATGTTAGGTATACCATATCAGGTATGCTTCTTGAGGGGGCCCAAAACCGAACACATCATTCTAGGTGCAGTCTCACCAGTGCCTCATACAAGGGGACAATCACTTGCCTAGTCCTGCTGGCCACACTATTTCTGATGCAGGCCAGGATGCCATTGGCATTCTTGGCTACTGTACCGGGTCTGGCTGGAATGTTAACTTTCCTGGCAGCAGCCCATACGGTGCCATACTCTGTACTTGTAGCTGGAACAGCAGTGTTATCACACCAGTGTTGTGTCTACTGCTGAGCAGCAGTGGCACAGTATTAGGCCTTTCTCTAACCCTCCTAGGGGGTGGGCAAAAAGTGAGGAGAGAAACATCACTAGGGCAGCTGACCTAAACCAATCAAAGGGATATTCCATACCATGTGATGTCACACTCAGCAATAAAAGGTGGAAACAGGAAGAAGAGGGGAGGGGTGGGCTCTTGTTGGGAAAACGTCGGTCCTCCTCTCGAACACCGGCTGCGTGCGTTGAGGCCTTGCTTCAAGGACGTGGTCAATCATCGCTCATTTGTGGGAAGTAGAGAGTAATTTCTTTCCTCTGCACTTCCATATAGCCTTCATTTATTTTGTTTGTTTGTTTTCCTCCCTTCTTTTTATTTTTTCCCTTTTCCCCTCCCTTTTCCCCTTTCCCTTATTATTTCCTCTTAGTTAAATTGTGTAGTTCATGGTAGTCTTTATTTAATTGTTATTATTATTTCCCTTTAATTAAATTATCCTTATCTCAACCCGTGAGTTGTTCTTTGCTTTACTTCTCCCTCTCCTCATCTAAAGGAGGGGGAGTGAGAGAGCGGTTGTGGGGTTTAGCTGCCCAGCACGGTAAAACCACCACAGCTACCTGGGCACACTGATGACTCACATTCAGCCAGCTGTCAACCAGCACCCCCAGATCCTACTCTGTTGGGCAAAAACCAAAGAGAGTTAAAATAATGTGTTGTGGTTTAAACCCATCAGACAGCCAAGTACCACACAGCCATTCACTCACTTTCCCCCCCTCAGTGGGATAAGGGAGAGAATTGAAAAAAAGGTAACAGTGAGAGAACTCATAAGCTGAGAGAAAGGCAGTTTAATAAGAAAAGAAAACATAAAATAAAATAAAATAAAATAAAATAAAATAAAATAAAATAAAATAAAATAAAATAAAATAAAATAAAATAAAATAAAATAAAATAAAATAGTAGTCTATGGGCCATCCCTTTAAAATGTACATTGAGTTTCTTCAGTCCATGACTTTGGGCTCCATCTGTCATAACAGTCCTTCGGGGCAGGAGAGGTGGTGAGTGGTGTTGGACTGTTGCATGCTGAAACCAGCTCTGCTTCCATCACCACTGTACTTTGCTCAGAGCCATCAAAATTTATTCTTCATACCAAAGAGGCTTTAGCCCCCGGCTTTCTTGACTGTGGCATGTTTCACAGTCATGCATAATTTGTGCAATGGTGTCCCTTCATATGCTGCCAATATCTCTTTTTCCAGTTGGAGTATAGCAAGCCTCGGATTCTCTGTATCCTCAACTCCAAAACACTAAGGGTCAACCTTGAGTCTCCCTTGGTGCTTTCTGACAGAGGGTCTAGGTGGGGCCTTTCTCCCTGGCTGTAGCATAGAGCACATTTTTTACCTTTTGTTCTGCCCAGACTGGCCCAAGGGCTACTGCATGAACTATCTCCCAGTTTATTTGTTCAAAGGCTTGTTCTTGCTTAGGGTCCCATTTGAAATTGTGCTTCTTCCAGGTCACTTGATAGAGTGGGCTTATAATCAGACTGTTATTTGGAACATGCAGTCTCCAAAAACCCATGACACATAAAAAAGCTTGTGTTTCTGTTTTGCTAGTTGGTGGAGACATAGCTGTTATTTTGTTGATCACATCCATTGGGATCTGGCAACATTCATCTTGCTATTTTATTCCTAAAAACTGGATCTCCTGTGAAGGTCCTTTGACCATATCTTATTTTATGGCAAAACTAGCCTTCAGAAGAATTTGGATTATTCTCATCATTTTATCAAGTACTTCCTCTGCTTTGTTGCTCCACATGATGATGTCATCAATGTACTGCGATGTGTTCATGATAACTTCTTGATGCAAATGGTGGATGTGCCAACTAGAAGAGGAACGCTGCTGGATCTTGTCCTCACTAATAAGGAGGGGCTGGTTGAAGCGGTGCAGGTTGATGGCAGCCTTGGTTGCAGCAACCATGAGATGGTGGAGTTTAGGATCTCGTGTGGCAGGAACAGAGTACCGAGCAGAATTGCAACCCTGGACTTCGATAGGGTTGACTTTGGCCTTTTTTCTAGGGGAAATCCCATGGGACAAGGTACTTGAAGGAAAAGGAGCCCAAGATAGCTGGTTAGCCTTCAAGGACTGCTTCTTCCGAGCTCAAGAAAGGAGCATTCCAACAGGTAGGAAGTCAGGAAAGGGAGCCAGGAGACCTGCATGGTTAAACAGGGAATTGCTGGGCAAACTCAAGTGGAAGAGGAGAGTCTACAGATCATGGAAGGAGGGGCTGGCCATTTGGGAGGAATATAAGGCTGTTGTCAGAATATGTAGGGAGGCAACTAGGAAAGCTAAGGCCTCCCTAGAATTAAACCTTGCAAGAGGGGTCAAGGACAACAGAAAGGGCTTCTTCAAATACACTGTGGATAAAACTAACCCTAGAGGCAATGTAGGCCCACTAATGAATGAGGTGGGTGCCCTGGTGACAGAAGATAAAGAGAAGGCAGAGGTACTGAATGCCTTCTTTGTCTCTGACTATAATTCTGGAGGCTCTCCTGAGGAGCCTCATGCCCCTGAGGCCCAAGACAAAGTCGGAATAAAGGAGGAGTTTGCCTTGGTTG